GCTGACGAGGTCATTGTATCGACCATAGAACTTACGAAATGATGACTATAAACGAGATATACAAAGAAATATATCTTTTCATGCTCAATACAATAAGCAAAACTTACTTTTATTGGTTTACAAACCTATTTGAACAGATTAAATCTTTTTTTGATTTAGTTGAAAAATATATTTGAACCCATGTTTCTTGTTTTTGTTTGTTTGTTGTTTAAAGTCCCTCTAGAGAATTTTTCACTCATATGGAGACGCCACAACTTGCCGGTGGAGAACTGCAAATTTTGACCTATACTCGGCACTCAGGCCATTGAGCAGTGAAGGATCTTTCTCGTGCCAGCACGTACTGCGACAATGGGACCACGGTCTCATCCGAAGGACCAGGTCTCCACGTCCCACAGTGGGATTTTAACACGCGACTAAAGGATCAACTCCGCGACTCTAGAGCAGACGCTCTAACCACTGCGCCACGTCGGCGACTCTGTAAGACAATGTGAATATGTTTTTTGGTTCCTTTATCATGACTTAGTATCAATTGATGATCAAATTATGCAACCTTCCTATTAATTCAAAGTGCAAGTGGGTGTACAAGTGGGTGTGTGATTGCCAAAAAATTCCACTTTAAATTTACTTGTATTTTTTTTATTTAATGCAATGGAAATTAAAAAAGAAATCGCTCTGTTTCAGAATTGAACAATTATCCAATTCACAGTAGGGTCTCATGTTAGGTTCTTTTCAATTACACGCTATTTCTTGTTATACCTGGTAAATAATGTTTGCCATTGCAGTATGCTAGTAACCGTTAGAATAGACACTGGATTCAGCACATGTATCTATTTGGTCAGATAATATACTACGTACCCATAGCGCCATTTAAGGAGCCGTTTTACAGTGTAATTCTTTCAGAGACCTCAAAGCTATTGATTGACTACTATGACTACATTTCAACTCTTTATTTATTTATTTATTTAAAAAAATATTTATGCCTCAAAAAGAGATATACACCTACAACTTAATCACTGCAATACGTTCCCAAAGTCCTGTTTCTTAGCCACTCTCTATTTATCATTCTGCGTTCCTTTGCCAAACTGTATACGTAGGAGCACATAGTTTTTTTCACTTAATTAATTAAATTACTTAAGGACAAGGTCAAAAGGGAGGATGAGAAGACTATTTTCAGGAGTCTTTCGGTCTTGACTACATACATGTAACTGTTTGGAAATCTAATCATTCCCACCAATAACCATTAACTCTGTGCAGGAGAGGTGGGTCCTGCAGAGAAAGTGTCGAGGATGTGATCGAGCTATTAAATATATCGATATCGATATCTTGGTTAATCTTCATTGAAATTGGCTGATTTGCAAAAAGCGATTTTGCTCTATTTTCCTGTTATTTTTTGGCATTTAGAGAAAGTGGATTGCTCGACATTATTGAACTACAAAAATATTGTGTTTGTATTCTTTATTTCAAAATTAGACGTTACAAATCTAGAAAAGATCTTGACTGACAATAAAGGAAAATTTGTATAAAGCATGCTAATCTAATTATAATTAATTTAATTATAAATGTAAACATGGAAAAGTTGCAGAAACTCTTGTATATCCTATAGCTAATGTGCATGAAAGCTTAATGCAGTTTATGATATATATTTAGTTTTTTATACCAGGTAACAAGCAATAGCGTGCTATCGTTTTTCTTCATTTCAATTGATGTTTGCCTTTGCTAAAAGTATTGATACCTGAAGAAGTGAAATGCACTGACAGGGTAAACACCTACATCACAGCAGAAGGATGATCCAGGAGTCATGTTTCTTGGCAGCTCTCTAAATATCGTTCAGCGCTCCTATGCAAAACACAGAACATGCATAGAATAAGTAACGACAGCCAGGAACTAATTAATTACTCAATTAATAATTAATAAATTAAGGTCAAGGTCATAGGGGAGAAGGAAGAAGATGATTTCCGAGAGTCTTTAACCATTGGCTCTATGAATCTTTGGAAGTCTAATCATCCCCACCAGTAACCATCAACTCTCTGTACAGGAGAATTTGGCCCTGCAGAGAAAGGTCAAGGACGCGATTGGGCCATCAATATTTCAACGAATCATGCTTCACATATTAACATCAGCAGATATCTATATCTTGGTTAATCTCCATTGAAATTAGTTAATAAAATTTGCATGGAGCGATTTTGCTCTAATTTCCTTTATGTTTGGCATTCAGAGAAAGTGGATAGCTTGACTTTAGCTTAGAAAGTAGAAACAAAGTAAGATTTGTATTCTCTATTTCATAACCAGGTGATAAAAATCTAGAAAATAAATTCGTGGAAGTCTATATTGCTATTTTAATCAACTGCACTGGAAACAAAAGAGGTACGTGCCGGTTGCAGTAGCCAATTTCGTAAAACTTACGTGCATGGAAGCTTTTTTCAGGTTGTGAGATCCATTTTTTTTTAAATTTGTTATAATTAGTGATATTACAAATAGAAAAAAAAACTTATTCAAACAAACTTGCTTCAAGGCAAGGGATCATGGAACAATGGATTCGTTTCTTTTATTTAGTTTGAAATGCTAGTACTAAGTATAACAAAATTTTATCTTTTTACGTACATGACCACTGGTAAAATCCATTCTGTATTAAATAAAATTGGGCAATTATCTAATTCACAGTAATTTCTTGAGATCTGGGTTAAAGATAAAGCTTTCTCAATTTCTTTTATGATAGTGGCTTTTTTTCTTTGAAATATGGATATTCATACAGAAGACTGTTATTCAGAATAAAGACACATAAATTACACTACGTAGTTGTATATATCCATCATTATGCTATCATAGGTCTTTTTGATTTCACGATGTTATTAATTAGTACCCGTAATATCTGCATGTCTAAAAATATTTATTTTTACCGTTAGGTAAGAAACCGGACTCAATACATTTTTCTATCTGGCCATATGATATAAAATGCGCCTTTTTTAAATCTTATTTATAGGCTTTCTGCAGTCTAATTCTTTTACTTTCATCTTTGCAATTGATTGTCCCGTATTTCAAATGTTGTTTGAAGCATAAATTTCTTAAAAACTGAAATGCACTGCAAAATTGAACATCTACCCACTGCAGTGGGATGATCGCAGAATCATGTTTCTTGGCAACTCTCTAAGTATCAACCTGTGCTCCTTATAGATGCACAATAAAAGTATCAACAGACAGGAACTAATTAAGCCCCTAATTAATTAAACTTCCTGATCAGGACAAGGTCCCAGGGGAGGTGGAGGAGGAAAATTTCCAAGAGTCTTACACTCGTGTTTCAGAGAAGCTGTGGAAGTATGATCATTCCCAAAAATCACCAGCAATTCTCTATGCGGGAGAAACGGGTCCTGCAGGGAAAGTCTGATTCTCCATGCGGGAGAGACAGGTCCTGCAAGGAAAGTGTTGAGGACGCAACGCGATTGAGCTATCAATTTTTCAAAGAATTATACTTCACTTATCAACAGATATCTATATCTTGGTTAATGTTCATTGAAATAAGTTAATAAAATTTGCAAAGGAACGACATTGCTCTAGTTTTCTGTTATTTCTTGGCATTGATAGAAAGTTGATTACTCGCGTTTAGCTAATGAAGTCATGAACCACAGAAAAAATAGGGTTTGAATTCTCTATTTCAGTTTCAGACGTTACAAGTCTATGAGAAAAAAATCTAGATTTGGTTTTGGGGAAATTGGTGCATTAAAAAGAGAAACAATCACGTGCATATTTTTCTATCATCGTGGAACCATAATAGATCTAGAGACATAATTGCCCCCTTGTCTGTCTGTCTGTCTGTTTGCGTCTTCTCTGTCAAGAGTTAATATATCCATTCAGATATATGTTACTGTTATCATTTATTAAATAAACACTGTGGCCTAAAATCACAGATATCAATGATAAGAACGGATAATGCCGATGATGCACTCCATACGCACGAAAATTGGAAATCTGAATTTTATATAGAACTCCTCTATATTGATTACCGATTGCATTTGTTCTTATGAGGACGAACCAACGCCTAACTTTCTTTGATACCGTATATACAAATATGCTTCGTTTTTTCAAGCAATATGTAATTACAAGGCAAAAACCTTGGACTTTAATTTTTCATAAATCTTGTTAATTAAAGAGTATAAAGCAAGTTCCTTAAAAGACCTTCAAATGGGTTAAAAGGCCAATTTTAACGAATCAAAATGCATGGGAACGAACTTTCTTAATACCTTCTTATGTAATATATATTTGATTTATAACGAAAATCGGTGTGATTTGTTTGTCTCTAGCACCTTGGCCGGTCCAGACATTGACAAATCCATTAAATGCATTAAGATTACAATATTTCAAATGGAAGTCTTAAGTACTTTCCAAGTTTAGATACTTAAACGGTTGCATAACCTGGTTTCTGGAGCAGATATAGGTGAAGAGCGAATACACATGCACGACGAGGAAACATCCGTTTTAAAAAAAACAAAAACAAAACAACAATATCGTGACTTTAGAATAAGATAAATGTGCCAAAAAGCAGGCATATTATCATAATGTATCATGTGAATACTGGGCAATGGAAGGAGCAAACATGAGAGAGATCAAAAGTCTCCATCTAAATAACGTTTTGAAGATTTTTGAATTCATTGTTGAAGCCTTTGCCCATAATGCGTTTTGGGTATATTGTCTGTGCGTACGTTTTTTTTTAATCCTTACACCTTTTTGACATGTTTGCAAACCAAATGCACTAGCTGCATGATAAATGTACACATCGTATGGTTTCCAATCTACACCATGTCGACTTGAGTAACAGGCTGTCAAGCCGTGTAAATATGCCAATACGGAAACCTTTATCTTTCTGCCAAAATCAATATTCCTTTTTATAACAACCTTCACCAAGTTGTTGACATAGGTCGATTTACAGAAAGAGCACGTTTGATAAAACTTATTCATTTACGTTTACACATTTTGTATTTTGAAGACAGAGCGAAGAAAACTGGAACAGTGTTGTATGAAATCACATTGTTTATTTTTGTAGATATACAAAGATAATCGAAATAACATAAAAAGGAAACAAATGTAACAAAACAACGAAGCATTCAATGCTAATAATAAACTCTGTCTCCACTTCTAATTCACAGGCATTCTGTAGATGAGCAATGATTTGATCATTTCTCTCGTTAATACATCACAGGGAGCATTATAAAATCAGCACGTGTCTTAAAACATCTTTGTTTCTTCCACAAAGAGATAATTTATCCTAAAGTCAAGCAATTGTTTGCTAATTATATAGAGAAATTGAATTGTATCCCCTTTTATTTTTAATGTTCGCATGTCAGATCTCAGATATGATATTCTGTGGCATCAAAACATTCAGACAATCTGCCCATGGCGCTTTCTTTGAGATGTAAGCAAAGTTTGTTTCACGTGAGCTTGAGGGGAGAATTCATATCAACGGAAGTCCGTCTTTTATCGAAATCACAGTCTTTCTTCCCACTAAACATGGCACCAAGTTTCTTTGATACATTCACTAAAGACGTTCTCCTTCGTTTTAACATAGATTTCTGTTGCTGGTTTATCTTCGCTTCTCTGAGCAAAGCTTGGAATGCAATGTTGATCGTGACGTAATTTTCCGCCGCCGAAACTTCGTAATATTGGCAATTATACTCAATCGCCACCTGGTGGCCGTCCTCAACACCAACAGCTCTTCTGTGTTCGAGGTCGGTTTTGTTTCCAAGAAGAAGTACAGGAATGTAGGAGTTTGAACGAACTTTATTAATGCTCTCCAAGAGAGTCTTAGCTCTTTCGAACGAACACGCGTCACATATGCTGTACACAATCACATAAGCATCTGCCCAGTTCAACTGAGTCTCGGTAGATGGCGAGGAGGAATTGTTCTGAAAAAAAAAAAATAGAAAATTGAAAGTTATAAATTGATATTTTGTATGGCCTTTTTGATATGGTATATATATTTTTTTAATTTACGTTTACATTTTTAGAATTCATATCAATACTTTTCTTGTGAAACATTTCATAATAATAATTTAATTCTAGTTGTAACGCTGTATTTGATTGGATAAAAATTTACTTTATATCGTATAAAATGGGTTGCCTAAGTCACAATGACTTGCGTCAAAAACGTATCCATCCGCCTGACGTTACATTCAAAATTTTGTACAAATTGAAGTCATTTTTAAAGACAATCGTCTTTTTTTCTTACACCAAATGAATGAAAATTAAATTATAAGGAATGAATTTAATAGCTACCCAATTTATACGGTATAAACACAGTCTATTTCACAGGCCAAAATTTTCAGTTTTGGTTTGTTTGCGTAACATTCTAAATGACCCATATACGATATGGAATCATATTAAATGCTTACATACAATCGAATGTTAGCACGAATTTGACAGATAACTCAGCGAGAGTATTAAGTCTACTACATAATCCACCGTAATTCCATCCCCCATATAAACAATGTCAATAACAATAGCGGCCAAATTTACACATTCTTAAGATCGAAGTCAGGCCAAAGCAAATATAACCAAAACATATTTAATAGATTATGAACTAAAGCGGTTAATATTTTGACATGGAATGTGTTTAGGTATACCAATTATCCAAGTAAATTCGGTGTCTTGCTGCAAGAGAACGTTAATATTCTGTTTTTGTTTATATATTCTGGATTTCCCGTCAAAACAAATGGAAGGCACAAGAAAATTTAAAAGCTTCTCCCTAAAGCTGTGTAATCTCCATTCATGTTTTAAAGATAACCTGCGTGTTTTTTATTTAATTCTCTTGCATGACATCACAAAAAGTTAGGATTTTTTCTCTTGCGTCAAACATCTATAACAGTACGCAATCAATATCAAAAAGTTGTTATCCACTGTAATGTTAATTAATTGTTGATGATTAATAATGAAAATTACCTTCTTGCTACTGGTGTCTAGGATTTCAATGTCTGTCAAATAGTCTTCTTGCTTAATGCATGACTTATATAACAAATCTGAAAAAAATGAACTTTAGCATTGAGTCATCAAATCAGAATATTTATAAGACAATTGACTACCATATATGTAAAGAGTCGTCCCGAATTTAAAAGAAAGCAATGTTTGTCTCAATATTTCTTACCTATATTGGAGTTGTATTCACCTATGAATCTTTTGGTTAAGAATCTTACGGTAACAGCTGAAAAATAAAGAAAAATGCGTTAAAAATTAAAAAATGAACACATTTATAATCAAATTGAAATGTGACTAAAGTTTAAATTTCTATCCCCCCCCCCCCGCCTTTTTCTGTCTTCTTGGAATGCATTCCTGCTACTCAGATTTTATAACGTCTGTTTTGAATTTTAAAGTAAACCACTATCGTTAAAAGCTTTGATGTTTTATTTGTTAAATCTTCATACTTTTTCTTATTTTCTTAGTTTTTATGTGTCAGAGGAGATGGTCCTCAGCTAAAGAGCCACTCTTTACAGAAATATTTAGGTCAAACAGCCCCCTGTATGTATATTGTGTCGTGAAATAGAAGATTTAAGAGGCCAATGTCGTGAAACCCTAGGATTACACTTCGTTGACAAATATTGTTTTAATTAAAGTCGAGGGTAAGATGTCCTTTGTTAAATGTGGCGTGGGGGGTTGTCTATATCTAACGTCCTATTTATCTAGTTGTTCATGGCGCTAATAAGTAAGCATCCCGCCGAAGCATTTTAATTCCCGTACTGTATTTCACGCACGAATTTAAATTTCTAACGTTTAAGATGCCTGTCTCGTCTCTATGAAAGGCCTTTGCTCGTCTTGTCTATGTGAGAGAATTCAATACACAAAAATTCTTGACGAACACATCAAAAAAACGTGGTGTATTTTGGTACCGTATATCATCCTTTTGAAGAGACAGTTTTGTCTCTTCAAAGACAAGTCTTCATTTCATGACAATATACAATTACATTGGTAATTGACCTATATATATGAAGAGCCACCAGAATTTTGACAAAAATATCATAGTTCTTATTTATCTAAAGAAAATCATGCATATACAGGTTCAAAAGTATCAAAGTCTCAAACTTTGCAATTCATATTTGGTGGCATAGGACTTTGATAAAAAAAATAGTTATAAACGATTTTGTTGAGAAATGAAGAAATCTCCTCGACCGACATTTTACCCGGAGTTTCATTATCCGATTTATTATACATTTATATCGATAATCCCCGAGATATAACCAAGATGCTGAACTCGTTCCTTTTTCAAAAGAAATAATATGAATGGATTAAATTCTAGCACTTTTTCACGAACTGTTTTACGTTTGCTGATCCCGGTAACGATACATTGAATGACTTTATTTTATTTACCCTCGATTGAACTATTCTTCCTTTCATCATCAGCCTATCATGTGAAGAAATGTACTCTATGCTTATCTGCTACATTTAATAAGAGATACATTATTTTTGTTAAATGTTGCGTAATCGAGCGATTTGGCACGTGTTATTGTTCCCGAGGGCCAATATCAGAAAATCACACGCCAAAAAAAAAAAAAAAAAAAAAAAAAAAAAAAAAAAAAAAATTTAGTTAGTTACAGAGGAGGTTATGCTTGTTTAATGCGCGTATTTTTTTTATGAACGAAATTTCACAGTAATATGTAATTAATAGATTTGTGAGATCTTTTAAAAAAAAAAAAAAAAAAAAAAGAAGAAGAAGAAGTTTGCACGCATTAACAGTACTTTGCAATAAAAGAGAACATCTCATGTAAAGTCAATTATCCTTAGCAACAAAAGTAAAATAACAATTCAAATAACATTATATTAATGGTGCGTGGAACAGTTGTCTGGCTTTTCCCCCCGAACTCCCTGGTGCATTCTGTTACCTTTGTCTGTTAACAGTACAAATTGTACTTCTATTCAACCCCAAATTATATCCCAAAAATGTGCTTTATTATTTTGAGAAATTTGTTGGTTCATTCCAAAGTCAGAGTGTATTACGTTTCTCTAAATTAAATTTCTTTTAAAGTTCTCATCTATGTTGTTTTAAGGTTGTATTTCCTCATTTGCTGTCACGAAAAACAAGACTGCTCTATACGTACGAGCTCGTCCCTTCTGTTTTTTGTGCCACTGACAAAAGCATCAGACCACGAAATGGCCCAACAAGGAACCGTCCTTTTGGCCTCGAATTGTCAAAATATTTCTTTGATGTCTGGTGATGTCCTTTAACAAAGCCCCCAACAATAACAGAACATTAACATATGTAAAGAAATTTATGCTGAGGTTTTACTATTCGTGGGACTTCTTGTAAATCGTTTAAAGCAATAAAGTAAGTTACTTTATGCAAAAATACTTGACCATTTCAGTTTATTTGATGAACATTTAATGCTTGACCTTAACAAAAAATAGAGTCAATCAAAGAACTTTCTATCTGTTTGGAATTTTGCAGTGTCATTTTAAGAGCACTGGGCTCCCAAAAGAGGTATTTAATAAAATGCACTGTTCTTTGTTAACATGTCTTTTGTTATTCTGTTCTCACTGACACCTCTTGTCAGGGTTTTTTCTCTCTATTTTTGTTTTCACGTGTTAAACCATGATGCTGCTTTAATTCCAATACGTAATGACTGAATTGTCCTTGAAATGTGTGAAAATATTTTCAACAGTCTCAATTTCGTAACCAGTCTTTCAAAAATTCAAAGAGGTTTCATAGCAAACAATGATCTTATTGAACGCTTTGCGTACTTTAAAACTTTCCAAATGGATTTGTGTACAGCTAAGTAAGAATAATATCTACAGAGACACGCTGATGTGGTTGGATTTCGTGATCTGAAATCTAAACATATATAACTAATCTTTTTTTCTAGAATAGTAGGATTTACGATGTTAAGTCGGAATTTGCCTTCATGTAGTCAGATGTTTCAACAGATGTCCCTCCTACGTACAGATGGTCAGAGAGTCAGCCCATTTTTATGATGGATTATTGGTGTACCCATGATAAACGCAGAGGATCAAGCATCGTTTATCTCAAACACTGTATCTTTAATATCCGGACTCTTCATATTCAAAATCAAACGAATTGCACTTAGATTTTCATCAACTGAATTATTAAGGTTTATTTTGATAGTTTTGTTTCATTCAGTTTAATATGTCGACATACATGACCAAGCCTAAAATTTAAAGGCTTTGTGAAATTAACTGTCCAAGTAGTTCTCTGAAATAAAGCTCAAAAAAGCTTCAGTCAATCCCAACAAACATATTCAGATTTGCAAATCCCAATACAGAATAACTTATAAACTTACCAGATTTTCCAGTTTTCTCTGCTCCTAAGACCATGACTCTTAGTGATGACGTCATTATGGTCCTCATTAGGAAATAGTCCTGCTAGATCTACTATATAGTATTAATGTTGTTAATGTCCCAGCTATATGCCACAGTTCTAAGTCACAAAGTATATCTACATCGTTTGTAAACACTTTTACTTATATATACTCCAAAATTTAAAAAAAAAGTGAGTAAAGCCGATAGATAATTGGTGACAGAGTTCGATAATTGATGACTTTTTTTTACTCCATTAGACGATTTCGGATATTAATTCATACAGCTGCAAATCTGGCTCTCCTCCATAAAAACCATGAACACACTGCACTCCGGGCTTCTTGTGGCATCAATGACTCTCCAGGCTTCTGTGTGGGAGCTTATAATACCTGGTGTTGGTAGAAAATAACTTATGTAAGAAATGAATAAAAAAAAGTTCACTCAATTTCTTCTTTACCGATGCACTTAAGGTGTTGCACGTCAAGGTTGATCCTTTGAATCAATATTTTTAGAATAGTGGGCTTATTCCACAACAGAGTTCTTCCTGTCTTAGTGTGTGCTATCAGACAGACTGGGCTTACAAAGGTGTACGCAGGTGCTTTAATACAGAAAGCCGCGCAGGTAAAACAGGGCTGAATTTTGACTAGTTTTCCTCACAATGTAAACATTAACGTCAAAGAGACACAGTTTCTGTCAATAACCTCAAATATTTTTTATGTACATCTCAGTCGTCTTTTTTATTTATATTTTTCTCTACCTATTCTGTCTATTTTCGCCAATATAATGTGTATCACTGGGTCAGACCGAGCCATGAAGTTGAGTAAATTCTCCGGTCATCCCTAATTTACTTACTCATACAACACCTTTTGTTTTCCCCTCTCACCTGAGTAAATTTGTGTTTCACTGGGTCAATCTTTAATGGGGATGAGTAGATCCTGCGGTCATTTTCTTCACACGAATTGAGATCTATTGTACTATACGGTTAATAAACTTTTTTGCACATGGAGGTGAAATTTCAATGATTTCCGATTATGTCATTTTAACTGTTTGACACACAGGTCGACTGCAACGCATTTATCTTGTGGTATTCAAAACGACAAAATCCCTTTGGTTAAAATGCTAATGTACTCAATTTTTGTCCAGCCTATATATATGACATAATATCTAGTCATATCTAGACATAGGGTTGAATTTCTTATTTAATTTATTCCTTGTTTACCTGTTTGTTGTATTCAATATTATAATATTGTGCATTGTATTTTAGTCCTACTCTCACAGGTATACCGCCCTTTTCAGAATAATTTCCCCCTGGAACATCACTGTATACCTATAAATATAAGACCTATGTGTGTTGGGATGTGACGTGCATAAGCAAAATTTTTCTGCTACATGATAATACCTCGATAATTTTAAATTTAAGAGATTCTCTTTAATAATTATTTTGAGGTGTACGTACATCACACGATGACCATTGTTACTCAAGGAATCCCGTTAATATACAGTGTATGAGTCTGTTATCTGTTTGTTTATAAACAGAATAGTTATGATAATTTTTAAGATTTGAAATGTCAAAAATGGATCGGGGTACAATGCTGTAACAAAGAAAAACGTCCCCTCCTTTTCTCGCAATATCAGAATGTTCGTTATGTTCCTCATTTCGCCTTCAGAATTTCATCAACTCATTCATTTCATGATTCTTCTATCTAATATAAATAAACCTTGAAAGCCTTATGATAGTTAACGATGAAAATTGTATCATAAATACCGGTCTCCTATCATCGTGATCAGATGAAGCGAGGTGAATTGACCCAGACTGCGATTTTTCTCTGAGTGTATATGACACACAGTTCAAATAATCCATAATAAGGACAGGGGAGTCCTTTACCTATCTCTCCGACCTTTCCTGGATTTGAAAGTTTGTTAGATCTCGCGTGCGAAGTGCTTAGCCGTCACTTAGTAACGAGGGCATTCGCCTAGTTTTCGTGTCATTCGCTTTCTCGATCAGAAAACGGACCCAAGTAAATTTAATTTCATTTGAAAAATAGATTCCAGATAATAATTTTAAATTTTGTTATCGCCTTGTAGATAATAAATTACTAATGGAATCGATAAGATATTACGAATTTGTAAGAGCTGTACATTGTGGGGGATTTTGTACACTTCTACACTTCTATATGCATACAAAGCTTGGATTGCCTGTGTTATTTTGAAACAATGTACCCATATGCTGGTCCAAAAAGATAAGGACTATCCAATATATATATATATATATATATATATATATATATATATATATATATATATATATATAGATCCATTCATATAATCTTAAAGCATGAAAGGATCGTGATGAAAAGGATATTGTACTCACGGATAATAAAGAATATGTAACAATCTTACAATACTCCCTCCCCCATCCCTGGTATATAGATCTACAGTTCAAGCATTATTCATTACCAATATTGTTATTTCTTGTATTAATCTTTAAAATACATTTGTATTATCAAACATTCATGCATGTTTCTTACATTATCTGTACGTAGTATCAACTATGTATATCTAGAAACCATGTCCCACAATATATCCCGTTTTTCCCTTCCTCTCTATTTAAGTATTCTAAATCTGCAATTTAAAACTCTGATAAATATCTACCTGTCGGATGATAATTGATAAAGGAATCTTTTTAAACATTGTTAATGCACATCACAGCTTTTACTAAGGAGCCGTCAATCCAACTGGAAAATTTTAAATCCTTTTTTACTGGGTTGAAGTTTTTAGCGGCTCGTTTTTTATGATTGATGTCAATTTTAACGCAGACATCGTTAATTCTAAATGAGCCTAGATAAAAAAAAAATCTTTATCTCTTTTTAATCTTTCAACAATAACAGAATTGTCTGAATCATAACTTTTAACACAGGAACTTGATCACGACAAGGCTATTCCGTTTCTGCCTTTTAAGGACATACGCAACGTACCTTACATACTGATAATTTTTCGAGATATTCTTAATTTAAGATTATAGTGCCATCAGATGTTTGTAGACAAAAAATCAGCATGCGTTACCAGGGGTTTTGAAAAGATATCAATTGATGGAAATTCTTGTGTAATTCAAAGAAAAATATACAAAAATTACTAAACATATATTCTAGATATTTTGTTTATCCAAACTTGTTTTAGAAGAAGTGTACAATAGCATATATAGACATTAAAATGTAGCACACAGTTCCTTAAAGTATTGGAACTCTTCAACTCCATGGAAAAAGACAATAAAGTTCAAACTACGTTGCGTATGTCCTTAATGAAAGGATCAAGATTCTCGCTTTTCGCGTCTTTGATCTTCGAATTATTGAATTAAAATCTGCAAGGAACTATACTCACACTTGAGTCATCATTGTAAATCCTTAGTTCTGAATTTACGTAAATCTGGACCTTTGTATGCCTTTCTTTAACCACATCAGTTAATTATTTTTGCTTTGATTGTATAATATTACCTGAGGACACTTCTCTTATATTTTATTACAATGAAAAATGACTTACATATATACAAAAAAGTTACAATGTACGATTGATGACAATAATGCCCGGGCTGAGTGCGGAGTAAGACGACATCTTTAGTTGACTTCTCCCCAAAGTTCTACAGTCTATCACAAAAAGATATAGAAAGTAAGAATGCTGCTAAAGAAAAGGTGCGAGGTGAAAGACTGGGGAGGAAAAATAAACAAAGCATAACACCCCTCCCAGGTAATTGAATTAAGAGTGAGTTTGAGGGGTGAATGGGTGAAAATTGTTCATGTATAGATAGGAGCGAGATGTTGGCACTTGTTAACATGGCTGAAAGCTGTGTTAGTGTTTGATTAATGACCCTGATTAGAGGGAGCTAGAACAGGTGAGTATAAGAAATCTATAAAATCACTATTAATCAAGATTTATCGAAACATAAACACTTGAAATCTTTCAGGAAAAACATATTTTTGTTTATGATTTGAAATGAAAATGTATGATTTAAGAGGTATAATAACTAAATTGGTTGCTTGATCATTAATGTTTTCTTGGCCTGGGATCGGGCAATGTGCCGTTTTACATCTAAATTGAAGATGTTAAGTGAAATAATCCCATTTCATCCTTCAAATTCTCTGCAAACGTAAGAAGACAACTTTATCTTTATGTATGCTTTCAAGACGAAATTACTGTAAATGTATTTCACTTGGCGGAAATTGATTTTTCGACAAGTAAGGGTAGATGAGATTTATCTTATATATACAAGACAATTAGCGATGTACTTGGTTTAGCGGAAACTGCTTTCCGCTAAAGGCGCTAAATAGAATACTCAGCCAAATATCATACTTTTACAGTACCTTGCATTCATATTGATATTTCTTGGGATTGATAATTTTGTCTTTATGAAATGAGATTTTAAAAAAAATATTAATCCACAACCATATTGAAAAACGACATCCCTACAAAAATATGACTAAAAATCTTTCGAAATCTCTAATTAACATATTTGTCTCAAACAAGCAAATTCAGAGAATTATGATCCCCTGCTTTCGGTGTCTTAGTGGATGGGATGCCATTATTTATGGCACATGGTGTCAAATATGTATGTCCTATCATATGTCATTCCAAAGTAATCACCAAAGTTAAAATTTTTGAAAATTAGGTCAAACATGAAAGTCCAATGACCAAGGTTAAAGTTTTGTGACAGACGGACAGACGAATGAGATTTAATGTCCCCTCGCTTTTGCGAAAGCGGGGGACAATTAAAAAGTATGACGAGTCCAGAAACTCCCATAGTCACAGGATCATTTACATAAATCATCTCTTTTAGTCAGCATCAGTTCAATTTGAATTTTATTCAAAGATTTGTTATAAATAGAACGTGAAGAGTCTGTACATCTATTAACATTTCAGCAGTTATACGGGGGATCGACAGAATTATGTCTGTGTGGATTACGGATGTGTCCTCCTCATTTGAAAGAAAATATATTTTGTTTAATTTCTTGCATGAAAAGATGTGCATGCCACTTTTATGTTGCATATTATCACTTATATTGCTAAAAATAACAAATGTTGAGGAATCATCGAGTTTTATTACTCCCTGCTGGATCTTTTAGTTTGCCTAGTAACCTTGAATTGTGTAAATAACAGTTATCTCGGGGTGGTTAATCAATCATGAATCTATATTTAGCATTTCATCCTGTTACAGACAATTTTAACATCAGAGCGAGACAGTTGTCACTTGAATTCAAGAACATTGGCAAGGCAGTGCCAAATATTTTTTTTCTTTGCAAAATGACACTATGAAAAGAAGAGAATAAGCTTTTTGTGAAGGCTTATTTTTTACCCGCCTCATCACCAGGTGTATCAAGTTTTAGTTCTTAATGAACAAGCTCAATACATAGTCAACTTTTATTACTAGCCGGTAAAAATTCGATATAGGCATGTTTAAAGGAAATTAATTTGATTCTTTAGAGCTTAAGGGCAGATCACCGCCCCATTCTGGGAATACAATAAACTCTTTTCATAAGCCTACCTTTTTTTAATAGAGCACACAGAAAAGATTCCCACTTTATTTGATGTTTACGTCGACTTCATGACATTACATTGACGAAGTCCATTATCAAAAGTTAAATAGGCTTGCATATTTCACATTCCTGAATATAACCCCATG